AATGTTTAAGGTCACATAAATAATTATGGAATTTTTATTTGATATTCATAAAATATTCATTAATATATGCACATAAAATGATGAATAAACTTTTTTATTAAATAAATAATAAATCGACTATTACATCTCATACTTCTAGGACACCATTCCTAACAACAACTTGAGGCCCTCAAGCCCAATTCCGGTAAAGGACTCCATATAGTCGCAAGGGTGGAATCATACGGGCCAGGTTTTATTTGTGGACGGGTGGACCATTTAGCTCGTAATTACCTCACTTTCAGTGAAATGAGGGGTGCGTATGAGGAACAATGCAATGCCCTGGCGTATACAAAAAACCTTATGCACCTTTCTTAGAAACTTACAATCCTGGTTGGAAAAACCACCCGAACTTCAGTTGGCGAGATTCGAACCAACAAGCACAATCATATGGAGGACAATGGAGACCCGACCAATAGCCATTCCCATCAAAAGTGCACCACAGGCCTCAATATAATGCACAATCGTCTAGTAGTTCTCTTGAGAGCACCTTGGCAACTTTCATGGATGCGCAAGAAAAGAGGAATAAATAGTTTGAAAGCCATTTTGCACAAATGATGGAGGAGAATAAGGAGATAAAAAGCCAGATTACCAAGCTGATTGGCGCTTTGGTTGTTCAGGAGCGCGGGAAGTTTCCATCTTAAACCCAGTCCAATTTGAAGGGACAACACATGGCTCACACCTCAAATTCTGAAGATCAAAATATTAAGGAGGTTAATGCCGTCTCTACCCAAGTGGTAATATTCTTGACACTATTTCGATGAGTGACGCCACTTCGAGCAGCCAAAAAGACGTTCCTAAGGAAAAAAAAGCTAACTGAACTTCTGGTAAGGTGCCTTTCCCCCAAGCACTCCCAACCAACTGGAAAACTACCAAAAAGTCAATGTGAGATCCTAGAACACTTGACACAAGTAAAGATTAATCTGCCATTGCTGCATGTGATGAAGCAAGTTCAGACTTATGCCAAAGTCATCAAGGATTTGTGCACCATGAAGAGAAAGTACCATGTTAAGAAAACTGCATTCTTGATGGAACAAGTGAGTGTGGTGATTGAGCAGAAGACACCGCTGAAGTACAAAGATCCTGGTTGTCCCACCATTTCCTACACCATTGGGACATGCGAATACGGCCAAGCATGAAACGTTGTAAGAGTCAAGGATCAAGGTGGGATTAAAGGTAAACCTGAGAGATATTTGTGAAATTAATCCTTTTACTTAAGAAATAAGTCCCTAAAAAATGACATGTCAAAAACTAAAACTACATGTCTATTTCATAGTAGCATTCACTATTGCTTCATGTGTCTTTTACAGTCGTAAATAGAGCAGTAAAAAAGGTGTTCAATCGAATTAACTGACAAAATCGAGTCAACTGACGCCAAATTCTAAATGATCAAGATCGCTTTCTGTTTCAAAACCGAACTGACCATTGCATGTGGTTCAGACAGAACAAAGCAAACAATGGTTACTAATAAATTAGGTAGTTTACAGACAAAATTATGATAATTAAAGAGATTAGATTTTTACCACACCAAATCATCAAATATATAAAAACATAACTATTAAAAACTTGTCCATATATATATATATATATATATATATCTATAAGTGCCATTTTAATAATTACTCTAATATTTACCCATCAGAGTGTATCGTTGCTTTAAACCGTAAGATACTAATCACATGGTTGTAATAAATTCGGTATTTTGGCAATAAAATTTATTTCAAATTAATTAGATTGGATTCTTATGACATTAAATTTCTATATTCGATGGGTAACTACTAATAGAAAAGTAAGCATTAATACATATATATGTAGATTATTTTTCAATAGGTACTTTTGCATTGGTAGTTATCTATCAAATATAAAAATTTAATGACATGGCGTGATAAGAATCCAATCTACCTAATTGCCATATATTTGTGTTGCTTAATTACCCAATTTATTATAATTGTCTCATCTATATTATACTATTAAAATAATAGTAGGCAAATATTAGAATAACCATTAAAACCATAAAGACGACGTTTTAAAAGTAACTTGATCCTCAATTTTGTTTATTAAAAATGTCAATCAAAATCCAAAATATATCCTCTCTCTCTCTCTCTCTCCCTTTCTCTTCTTTGACTTGTACTTCGTCGTTGAATCCGGCCATATAAATTCGTAGCCCAACTGTGACCCATTGCTACGCGTCAATGAAAAACCGTAGTTGTTTCATTGCATCGCTTATTATTTCACTCATTACAACCAGTTTTCAATAGTTTTGTCATGTTGGGACCGATATTACAATATTTGTAAAGCTCGGGTGCCAGTAGTGTGACATTAAAAGTTCAAAGAGTAAAGTGAGACAATTAGTATTTCTCAGACAACAGAATTGAAACTAACCCATATTTTAATTTTACTAAATTATCCTCATCAAAGCATTAACTGCGCCTCTCAAGCTCATGCTATTATTTTTTTGACATTTTTATCATAGAGAGACTGATAATGGAACATTTATAAAACTTAGGTGCACTAGTGTGCTATTTGAAAGTTTAAAAGGTCAAGTGAGATAATGAGTATTCTTCAGAGGTCAAAATTGAAATTAACTCTATTTTGATAAAAGAATGTAGTCTTGCTTTAAAAAAAAAAAAAAGAAAGGAAGAAGAAATTAATTATAGTATGCTACTGGAATTACGTTCCTTTTCAGTCACAAACTTCAGCTTAGTTTAGTAGTGTTGTGGATTTTAAAAAAATTACTTTTAGTTGTACTAAAGGAAGAAGCAGTTATTACAAAAAATAACTAAGTGTTTGGTAAACTATAATTATAGTAGCTGTGTTGGTTCTAAAATTAGTGTAATAACGTTTGATAAATTGTAAGGTTAAATTGCTATGGATAGTTAAAAATTACGACTATATTATATTTAATATAATATAATATATATAATTACAATGAAATATATATTTATTAGTATACTTAATATAATTAATATATTATATGACCATAACGTGTGTAATACACTATAATAGATAATAATATTAGAATTATAAGATTATATTAATATTTAATTATATTAATTATTATATTATTATTAATATAATAAATATAATTATATCAATAACATAATAATATATAATATTATTATGAAATAATAATTATAATATCATATTATTAAAATAATTATAATATTATTATAATATATATTATATGATAAAATAATAATATTAGAGTTGTTAATATAATTATGATATTATTTGTTACAATATTACTATTACATTACATTATATTATATTATATTGTATTACGCGTCTAAATTTTAGATTGCAAAGATTGTAAATTTAAAATTTCATTAGGGGTATTGTGGGTATTATGAAAATTTTATTAATTGTACAATGTTGATTCCCGCACAGTCAAAAAGCTAAAGTTGTCTTTGGGCTGCTTCTGATTTTAGTTGTAGATTCTTCAAAAATTCTTCAAAAAACACTTTTGAGGAGATTTACCAAACACTAAAATCAACGTTTGCTACAAGCAAAAACTGATTTTGAGAGTGAAAAGAAATACCAAACGCAACATTCATTTGAGAGAGAGAGAGTTTTAGGGATTTAAGGTTATCAAACTAGGGGGATAAAATTAGGGAAACAAATAATTTTTTTAAAGAAAATACTCAAAGCGCCCATGTGTTTTGTCTAAATACAACATTTGTCCTTTTTATTTATAAATACCTAAAACACCCCCTTTTTTAAAAAAGAAAAAACTCAAAATATCCCCTAAAGCAATTATTTTTTTAAAATACCAAGATTACCCTTCCTAATTTATATTAAATGTTATTTTAGATATAATTTAACTAAAACTTTAACTAAAAAATTTTAAATTGTTTAAATAAATATTCCAATTAAATAAATAATTTAATTATTTTTAGAGTTTTTCATTTTTTTTAAGCTTGATCTTATTTGACATTTGATTTATTAATGGTTTAAAATGTATTTAATAAAGGTTAGATAGGGTAATCTTCGTATTTAAAAAAAATAAGTAATTCAGACTGATTTTAAAAATAAAAGAGGTGTTTTCGACATTTGCATAATAAAAGAGGTAAAATTAATATTTAGACAAAATACATAATTATTTTAAGTTTTATACCATTTTTTTTTATGAATGTGAAATTACATTGTATTTAAGCTTGGTTTCCTTTTCGTCGAGATAAAGAAAAAACCTTAGCTTTCTTTGTTGAAGTTCCTTTGTTAGCATATATATTTTTTTGGATTAATTTCACTAGTATCTCTTGAAATTTAAAGTCATTTTCATTTTATCCGTTAAACTTTAAAAATTCTCACTTTGTTCTCTGAATTTTAAAATTGTCTCATTTAAGCCATTTGGTAAGAATTTCTATTAAAATCATATAAAAAAAGTAGTTAAGTGTGAGCACATGATTTTTATCTATTTATTTTTAACATAAATTTAAACAGAAAGACCATGTGATTGCATTATTCTCTTTTTTTCATCTATTTTTAACAAAAATTACAATAAAATGGATTAAATATAAACAATTCAGAGGACATTTGGTTAGAAGATTCAAACCATGATTTGAATCATGGTTCATAGTTCGCTACAGTATTTTCTCTTATAAAAAATACACGTAAATAAAAAATGGTTCTAATCACATAATTTTAATCTATGAACTAAACGTCTGTTCAATGTTTAAGAGTTTCTAAAATTTGAAAAGCAAATTGAGAATGAACTAAAGTTCAGGAACACTAATATTAATAATAATCCCTTTTTTTTCCTTCTTCGACCACAATCATGGCATATTAGAAGAAAAATCATCACATATGCCTTTAAAAAAAAAAATCATCACATATCACCTATAAGGGTATTTTAGTCATTCAGGTAAAGGGATTTTCCTTTTTAACAGACAAACGCCGTTAAAATCTGTACTTTTGACTAGCAAAAAAACAAAAAAACAAAAGACGAAAGACCAAAAAAAAAAAAAACAAAAACCAACCAGTGGAAGCCGAAATCCTTCTCTTGATCCCATTCCTAGTTTCCCACTCAGCTAATCTGTGTTTCTATGGCTGTGGGCATGGACAAGCCTCAATATTAACCTCTATTTGACCATTTTCTGCAAGTTGTTTCGTTTCTCAATCTCGCATGTGTGTATAACATATTTATCTGTTTTATGATATGGGTAACTCCAATTTTTCTTGGATTTACCATCGTCTTAATTGTTTTTTTTCTTTTGCGTTATTGTTATAATGTAGCGTAATTTCTAATGAGTTTATTGCATTCTCTCAGTCGATTTTGTTTGATTTCACGCATTTTATTTCATTCTCTCTTTTTCTTGTCTGGCTCTACTCTCTACTGTCTGGTATCTGTTTGTTGAAAGTACTGTGTAACTAAATTGAATAACCCTATTTGCTGCAAAAAAAAAAAAAAAAAACCGAGCTTTAGACTTTATACTCCTTTAAAAAGACTTGTTTTAAAAGACTTGTTTTTTATCATGCCAAACATCTTTATTCATTTACTTTTATTTGTTCGTGGTATTTAATTTGGCAGGCAAAATTGGATGTGATTGACTGGTACATTAGCCAATAGAGGTTAACCGGCCCCAGAAGGTGTTTTGGGCTAAAAGAAGTTACCGAATTTGTTCTTATTATTATTGTAAAATGTTTACCAATGATAGAAGGCAAGAAGATCGGACCGGAAAATATGGAACTCCAAGGCTTCAATATCTTCAGGTTGCTTGTTCTTTCCATCGTGTACTCATAGCCATTCCGGTTTACTATGTTTGATTGATTTAGTTTTTCTTGGCTTTATTTTACTAAGGTTCAGTTAATTTGTTCCAGGAATTGGTGACTCAAATTCAGAACTCCAATAATGAAGGTGTGTTGCCTTTTTATCAGCATTCCTTTCCTCTTTGAATTTGCTTTACACTTACAAAGTAGTAATTTTGGATTTCATTCCTCATTCTAATTAAGATTATTGCCCAATCTAAAAGACCAAATAGGCTTATCAGTAATGAGTGCACATTTTGATTGTCCAAATTTTTGAGTTTTTTAAGGTACGTAAGAGTTCTGCTTTTGATGTTCTGTGTTTAATAGTCATAATAACTCTGCAGAAATGCCTAAAGAAAGTTTCTTCTATAACTAAAAAACTGGTGTCATACTCGTACTTACTTGCATTATAG